AATCGCTGTCAAACAAAAATTTCAAACACGAAAGTTTTGCCATGGACCAACAAAAAAACCGCAAGCCCCGGTACAAGCAACAAAACAAGCGCGCAAGCGGGCCAGCGAGCGATCAAGTGCAAGCACAACAAGCAAGCATGCAACGCACGGGCAGATCAACGTGTTACTGCTGTGGAGAAAATGGGCATGAGACAAAATCATGCAAGTATCGAGACAAGAGTTGCAATTTCTGCCACAACAAGGGTCACCTGGAACGAGCCTGCATAAAGAAGAAGAAGCTGTCGAACAAATTTTTGCAGGAAGAGCACAGCGACACGAAGGACGAGAGCAACAGTGAAGGCAGCCGAGAAAGCAGCACATCCAGAAGCAACAACTACCTCGATTTTTTCAACATGGACTTCAAGATGAATGTACACCACAGCGACGCAACCAGGGCGGACCCAATGTTTCTCGATGTAAAGATTAACGGTCAATTAATCAAAATGGAATTTGACTTAGGTACATACTTTAGCGTAATGTCTGAAGGTTTTGTCAAACGTAAATTCAAAAATATTAACATTGAAAAATTAGGGATAAATCTCCTCACGTATGAAGACAATGGAGCCACTGGGCCAGTTAAAAAACCTTAAGGTCAATTTTAATAACGTCACTAAAATTTTACATTGCATAGTATTGAAGGGAAACAAAGTCCCATTAATAGGAAGACAATGGCTCTCAGCGTTTGGGCTGTGGCCATTAAAGTCACTCAGCAGTTCAGACATTGCGTTAAATAACAAACAGGCGATACATAAGTTGCAGACGAACGACGTACGCGACAAACTATTAACTGAATTCGAAGTATTATTCAGCAATACGCCAGGCGTATACAACAAGCGTAGCGTTCAAATCCATGTAAATCCAAACACCAAACCAGTCGCGCTCGGAGCAAGGCATGTACCGTACGCGTTAAAGCCAAAAATCGAGCAGGAACTGGAACGGTTAGTCAAGTTAGGCCATCTGGAAAAGGTAGAGTCGAGCGAATGGGCAACCCCCATTGTAGCGGTACTAAAGGGTAACGATCAGGTGAGAATTTGTGGAGATTTTAAGGTTACATTGAACCCGCATCTGAAGGTAACTAAACGTCCTTTTCCGCGAATCGACGACATCTTTGCAGTAATGCGGAGCGGCTCAACATTTTCTCAGCTGGATCTCCCACACGCATACATGCAAGAACCAATTGACGTAGAGTCTCGGAAATATCTCACAATCGCGACGCATGCCGGCCTGTTTCGATACACAAAAATGATGGAAGGTACAGCCCTTGCTCCAGGCGAGTTTGTACAAATCATGGAGGAATGTTTACAAGGAATCCCTAATACTATCGCGTACATGGATAACATTTACGTAACGGGCAAAACGACTGAGGAACATTTTGAAAATTTGAGACTTGTTTGCCACAGGCTAACGGAGCGCGGATTAAGACTAAACCAAGATAAATGCGATTTCATGAAAGAGCGCATAGATATTCTGGGATTTGTGATAGACAAAGACGGCCTGCACAAATCCAAAACGAAGGTTAAAGCGATGTACGAAGCGCCGCGGCCGGAAAACACTAAACAGCTGGTCTCATTCCTTGGGCTAATCAACTTCTACGCGAGATTTTTGAAAAACAGATCAGATAAGTTACGACCGCTTTTTGATTGCGCAAACAAAGAAGTTTTCGAATGGACCAAGGAGTGCGAGAAGGCTTTTTAGTGGGTTAAAAACGAGATGATTTCCCCGCGGGTTCTAGCGCACTATAATCCAGACGAGCAACTGATACTAGCGTGCAACGCGTCCCACTACGGGCTCTCAGCGATTCTGTCACACAAATACAAAGACGGCACGGAACGGCCAATCGCTTTCGCGTCGAAACGTATTCCAGAAAAAGAGCTGAACAGGGCAATAAACGACAAGGAGGCATGCGCCATTGTTTTCGGATTCGTTAAATTCTACGATTTTGTTTACGGTCGCAAAATAACTCTGCGCACCGATCATAAACCGCTTGAAACCATTTTCGGCACAAAGAAAGGCATACCACTAACGGCGGCAACTAGATTACAACGCTGGGCAATTTTCGTGTCAGGGTTCGAGTATGACATCGAATGGATTAAATCAGAACAAAATGGGAATTGTGACGCGCTATCGCGGTTACCTATCGAGGACAAGACGGACATATTTGAATCAGACGTTACACAACTTCATTTCATTACCGAGGGCGCGAAAGTAATAGACTACGGGACTGTTGTCCACGAGACAAAACGGGATTGGGTCTTATCACGAATAACAAGGTTCTGCGTTTTCGGTTGGCTCACGAACAATAAAGAGCTCCCCGAGGAAGAGAAACAGTTTTTCACGAAACGTTATGAATTATTGGTTGAAAATAATTGTTTATTCTGGGGATATCGAATAGTTATACCGGATAAGTTACGAGGTCGAATTCTAGATGACCTACATTTGTCGCATCTAGGAACGGTCAAAATGAAAGCGTTAGCGCGGTCTTACGTGTGGTGGCCCGGAATTGACACCGATATTGAAAATATGACAAACCAGTGTAAAACATGCGTGGAAAATCGGAAAGCACCACCACACGCGCTACTTACACCATGGCCGTGGCCAGAAGGAGCATGGCACGGAATACACTGCGATTTTCTGGGCCCTTTCCTTGGGGACATGTACTTAATCGTAATATACTCCTTCTCAAAATGGCCAGAGGTATACAATTTTAAACAGGACACAAGAGCATGTAAACTCGTGAAAGTTTTCCAGGAATTATTTGCGCGACACGGGTTATGTGCCCACGTAGTCACGGATAACGGAACAAACTTCGCAAGCGCAGAATTCAACGAATTCTTAGATCGATTTAAAGTCAACCACAGTTTTTCACCACCGCACCACCCTGCGACAAACGGAGCAGCGGAAAACTTCATCGGGACATTTAAGGACAAGGTCTCAAAAATTGTAAAAGGGGGGAAAAGGGTGGACACGGCGGTGAACCAGTTCCTTTTTTACTATCGCAGTACACCACATTGTACGACGGGCAAATCACCGGCGTACCTGTTGTACGGACGCGAGCTCCGAACGCGTTTTGATCTGCTTCGACCGAACTTGCGCGCTAAAATCAGCGAGAAGCAAGGCGCACAAATGGGGTCTCGAACACGGGCGCGAAGGGTAGAATTGTCAGTGGGGGACACCGTAATGATTGACAATTACGGGAAGTCAGGTGGAAAGCGCGTCCCAGGCGAAATCGTTGAACAGTTGTCACCGTCAACTTTTCGAGTCCAGACCGAACCGGGAAAGGTAACTAAACGGCACACCAGACAAATCATTAAGCCGTCGCGGCGATCGGAGCGTCTAGCAATTAAGAAAAGGGCGATCATTTAAAAAAGGGGGAGAATTGTGGTGTATGCGCGTAGAGAGAGAGGGCACCACGTACTGGCGAGCGAGTGTGTGTAAGGAAAGCGAGGCGCTCGCGGAGACATGTAAGCCGAAAGTCGAGTGAGTGTAAGCCACGCGGCGAGGCTCAGGGAGAATATATATATCAGAGTGCATTGCATAACGAGTTGTGTATCAGTTCA